ACAGGTAGAATATATATAATGTAGCCTGTAAATTATGCAACTGTGTTACGACAGGATCTGAATTCCATTGCATCTTAATTCATACCTTTTTTCTGTATGCCGTGGGCTACGTGTGCTATTTTCAGTTGGCACACGACCCCACGGGAAGCCACGTAGCATATAGCTTTGTACAAAAGCATGAAAATAATGCCTCCGTCAGAGAGGAGAGCTTGTCAAACAAGCAAACATGGATTTAGTTGTTTCTGGGCATAAATATCCACAGGGGAAATAAAAATTAAGTTCTAATTTAGGGTTAGAAAACGAGCATGCACAACCTCTTAAACTTATTCCTGGATGTTCTTTGTTTAGCTTTGGATGCTGTTTGATCAGAAAATACAGTTTGAGAGAGCCATGAATGATGGCAGATATCATATAGCAGATTCTCTTGTAGCAGGAATTACAGCACTTAATAGCATTGAAGGAGTATACAGGTAAGAAGTCATGAATCTGCATAATAAATTTACAGGTTTATCCCATGAAGAAAATTAAAAATTAAACAAAATGATTGCTGGCAGTCACATGTATTTGTATGCTCATTCCTTTCCAGTATTAATTATGGTAGTGTTGTCTATCCTGTAATAATTACTCTGTTAAGAGTATTTCCTGCAGTAATCCGTTCTAGTTGTTTCTTTGGGGATTTTAAAACCAGAATGGCATTGTAGAAATTTGCGTTATTCTGGAGCTGTAGATCTGCTCTTTTGAGAACACGGAGTACTTCTTCAAAATCTGCTCATGGTAACTATACTCCAAACTATGCACAATGAAGAATTGTATATAAAATAGCTAGGAACGTAGGGCGTAGTCACAACTCTGCTACAATAAGAGCTTGAACAAATGTCTTCATCTCTGTCCTAGTTTCTCCATCTACACAATGGGATGATGTAAATGTATTTCTCTCCTCTTAGTATGTTCTTGTTTCTAAATGAAAATGGTATGTTAGAAATAGATGGGGTTAAAACTTGTTGTTTGGTGTATATGAATAACAACTTGTTGTTAAAAGCTATTTGTTGTTGATGTGCAACGAGGCAAAAAGCCTAAAGACATAGCCAATACCAGTAAGCAGGAGGATAGGTAGTCAAGCTGTGGGACCTGATGCTTGTCCTTCTGGAGCTGGACTGTCTGTGATTTCCCTGACCTTTAAATAGACTTCTCAGTGTATGGGTTTCGGTTATTTTAACGCTTCTCCTACTGCTGTCTGTTTGTATTTTTTTTCCCTGTTCTTGCTCTTTCCCTGTCACTCCATGTCCTTGTTAGCTCGTGCCCGTTTTAGCTAGCTTACCTCATACCTGTTTTTCTTACACAAATAATTACTTGGGCTTTCTAGCTTGCATGCCCTCCTGCTTCTGCTACTTGTTTGGCCTTTGGTTTTGGTAGTCCTTGTTTTCTGGTTAAAGCTATTTTATCCTTTCTGCCTGGGCGTTATCTAGTGATCAGAGATAACTAGTTTTTTCTTCCACCTGAGTATATAGCATACATACACTTTGATACAATACATTTTTACAGTTACATTTACAGAAACAAAGTTCACAAAATAAAGGCCCATTTTACTGTGTTCTCAAGAGTAGAATTGTTGTTCTCAAGAGTAGAATTGTTATCTAAAATGTAAACATAGGATCAATGACTTTTCCTTTTTACCATGGCAGAAAAGCTCTTGTATTGAAAGCCCAAAATCAAATGTCAGAGGCGCACAAACTTTTGCAGAAATTGTTGATCCACTGCCAGAAAATCAAGAACACTGAGATGGTGATTAGGTAAGAATGATTCATTTTCAGACTATTAAAGCTGCTTGGCAATGATTAAAATCAGCCATTTCAATCTGTCTGTGTTCAGACTTTGCTAGTCTTCAGTTACCTACTGTGATATGGAGATTACATCATAATTTCATTTATTAAACAGGGCATGGGATAATTGTTTGATACTTGCTTGTTGGAGCGGGGAGTGGGGGTGGGGGGAGACAAGCGGCTATTTTTCATCAAAAGAAAGGTTTATAAGTCTTACCCCTCTTTTGGTTAGTGTACTTCTGTCAATAGCAGAGCTCTACTGGAGATCTTCATGTCACACGATAGCTTTGCCTGTCCTGCTACAGGCTCTTGCCCTCTCTCGAGAATATAGTCTACAGTACTTGGCTTCTGAAACTGTGCTGAACTTGGCTTTCTCCCAGGTATGTTTGATTTGTGTTTTCACAGGGCTGTAGGGCAACGTTTATGCTGGGGATCTGGATACCGATTTTACTCCTGTTAGATTTAAGAACATAACCTTGTTGGAATTCAGTTATTGATTCTAATGCAGCATGTTCTAAATATAAAATCTTTTGAGAAAGTTGAGTTTCGTGTATATCAGTAAGAGCTGATATACAGCTCTTACTGTAGAGCTCGTAGTTACTCTATATAATTAAGCAGGCAAGCATAAATTGGCCCTGCCTTCGTTTCTCCAGTTTGTATTTCTTATGCTAGTTCTTTGGCTTTCTAGTAGCGCGATTTGATGTGTGTTTGAATTAAAAATAATGCTTGTAATGGAGTTCAGTTGTATTGTTTGTTCTGAGCTGGCAGAGTCCTGGTTGTCAGCACTGACTGGAGTGGAGGAAACCATGCCTAATGACTTCAGGTGGTAGCTCATTTCTACTAATAAGTTTCAATGTAAAAGAAGATTGCGGGGGGGGGGGCAAATCTGCATCCTTGTCTGGAGCATTGCTTTATTAAAAACAGATATGGCTTATGTTAGTCTTCTCAGAAGAAGCTGCTCTCACCAAAGGATTTCAGTATCAGACCGACAAAGTGTTTCTCTTCCAGCTGATCCTTGGGATTCCTGAACAAGCCCTGAATATTCTGCATATGGCGATAGAGCCTGTCTTGGCTCACGGAGCTGTGCTGGACAAAGGCTGTGCCATGTTCTTGGTGGCCAAATGTCAGGTGGCTTCTGCAGCTTCCTACCCTCCGCAAAAGAAGGTTGAAGGTAGCGTGAAGAAGAATTCTCCGTTTACACCTCATTCACAAGTTGAGAACTGCAAACCAGTGTAGATAGGAGAGTCCTGCTAGAACAGGCACACCCCCGATCACTGTTAATGAAGTAAAAATGATACGACAGTGTTATGTAGTTATCAAATAAGGAAACTAATTTAGAATTAGCTGTTCAACTTGAACAGATTCAGTAGTCATAATGGCACCTTGTTTATCGGCATACTTTCACGCCCATATTTTGCAGCAAAGGTTGAATAGCAGACTAGCTGAAAAACCACGTTGCTAAGACACAAATTGTTTTGAAAAGCTGAGGAATGTATATTTGGGCTCCTTAGAGCGGGGCTCTATTGCTTGAAATTGTTACTGTGATGTTGTCTTAAATATGACCCCCCTCCCCCCGTTTTTTTTTGACAGCTTTGGAATCAGCTATTCTGAATCTAAATGAAGCTAAGGATTATTTTGCCAAAGTGGATTGCAAAGAGCAACTTAGAGATGTTCTCTACTTTCAAGCGAGACTGTTCCACACCCTAGGCAAGACCCAGGAAAGGAACAAATGTGCCATGCTCTTCCGGCAGTTGCACCAGGAACTGCCTGCACATGGTGTCCCCTTAATAAATGCCTTTAAGTGATGCATTTAAAGATTTGTTTTTCTGTTTTGTTAACTGTCTTTTTATTATATTCAGTCATCAGTGTTTCAAAATAATTGCCAATAAATTATGGTCTTCTATTGAACAAACGTGTTTTGTTTGTATTGACTTAGGAGGAAATACAGGTTTCCACCCATTTCACTTTATGCCATACTTGAAACTGAGAATACGAATCGAATGGGGAAAAAGAACGCTCTCAGGACTGCATTACAAACGCACTGAGGGGAGAGTAGCAAAGTCATGATAAAATAACTTCTGTTCTTAGAAATGATGTTTTCAGACTCAGTGCTGGCTCAGTTAACACCAGGGCACAAAAAAAACTAGTGGAAATTGTAGGTGAAGCTGCTTTGTACTCAATGGGGAGTCGCTTTTAAAACGTGTCCTTTAACCTGTCTGCAGTCACTGTTTACTCTGTAGAAGCAGATGGTGCTGGCAGAAGGGGAAAAAGCAATCCTATTGGAAAGGTCTAATGGTGCAAAGTCTCAGCATTGCTGTGTTAGACGTCCTTGCGCAGAGAACAGCTGGAAAAAGTAAAGCGTGCTCAGGTTCACTGAGATGCAACAAGAGCACTAGCTCAACTGAACTATTTTGTGTAGTTGGTTTTTTTTTTCATAGGCACCATGTATAACTTACCTGCTCTGTTTTTATCTGTGAATAAATGAGGACAGCAGGTAACTCCATACCTGATATGCTACCATTGACGCCTGGCAATCAGATCCTTGTTTTGGAAGATAATTTCGTTTTAGATGTAATGTGGGATTTCATACACGTATACGGTTGCACTTTGAATGTGAACGTGCACGTGCGAGGTGGGAGGCAGCCCAGTTACAAGGCAGTGCACGAGGCTGACCCTCGGGCAAGGTGGGTTGCAGTCCTTTCTCGCCAGTGTATCTTTTTGTCCTTATACTTGGCGTTAATGATGCTTAGCTTTTGTAAACACTGAAAGATATCCTGCCAGGAAGCACTAGATGAGATTGCGGCATTGTTAGCAATGTAAGTTTAGAAGTAAATCTTACAGACTCCGCTGGAGCTCTGCCAGGCAAGGCCCGGAAGAGATAAGTTCTAAAATGTGGTGGAAATAAGGATAATCCAGTACTAGTTTATGCATCCCTTTAATTAATGTTGCAGTGTGGCTTTTGGCAGATAATCAGTGCTTTGGTTTTTAAAACCACAGCTGTATTTCAAATGTTAGAGAAAAGTAACCCCTTCACGGGAATGCTGGTGGCTCCTGCCCCGTCTGTTAGGTTAATCAGGCCCCCAGTGATAGTAGGAAAGCACTTAAAAGTTCAAGTTCCATAAAGCGCTTGGAGCACCTGCCAGCTGCCTTAATAGCATATTCGCATTAATAATTTGCAGTATGGCAAAACTGATTCCTAGGGTGGCTTCGAAGATCCCGGTGAAGAGCGTTTATCCGTAAAGCTCGCAGGGAAGCAGGTACGCGGCTCCCGCGCCCGCCTCCGCTCCAGGCGGGAGCTGCTGCCTCGAAAAGGGCAGTTTCAGCCCGGTGCAAGGAGGGTGCTCGAGCGGGAACGCGCTTGAGGAGGAAAAAGGAGGAATTAGCACGAGCCAAGCGGGGGCTGCAGCTGCAGGGGCGGCGGCCGGGGGTGG